GAGAACAGATGGATCTCTGCGTGAGGTCAGCGAGCACGAAATGCAGAATGAATGCTTTTTAGCTGATTATGAGGTTGGCTTCCTGAAGGTTATATGACTGAGCTGAGCTGAGGCACTTGACAGTTACGAGTGCTCAAATGGAACTTCCAACATACAGCAGTGGTGGTTCATCGAGATCACCACCGCGCAGGAGTCCTCCCAACGTACCTAACGCCCAAACTTACCGCTCTGTAACGCAAAACATCATTCCGCCACACATCAGCTATATTTCCAGGCAAAAAATACATATTAGGGAAAATATGTCAATGGTAACTTACATGGGGCAATATAACGCGTACGGTAACGATTTCAACGCGTTTGGTAACTCGCTTAACGCGTTTGGTAACTTGCTTAACACGTTTGGTAACTCGCTTAACGCGTATGGTAACTATACACTAGCAGCCCATCACGCGAATGGTAACTACATGAAACTCCCGCCGAAATGATCTTGAAACTGAGGAAATTATCGAGTTTGAAAGCCTTTACGCACAATTTTATCTTTCTTGAACAAGTTCCGCCGCGACTTTGAAGGACCATGTTTAGTCTAATACCATGGACCAAGAAGTTCAAAGTTTATATATACATATATATATATATATATGGCTCGTACAAAAACGGTTCAAATCATATTTTTGATAGCATGATTGCGAACTTACAAAATGATTTAAAAAAAAACTTTCCGCGAAAGGGCATCGGGCTTTTACCGTATTACCCCGGACATACCACCCGCCGAAATAGAGCACCCCCCGGGTGGCTTGTGCGGGGGGGGTGCTATAGCGGGCCTCATTTCTACTATACCCCCCTTTTGGGGCGATCCGGTATAGCACCCGGGGGGGGGGTGTTATGTACGGGTAATATTGCAGTTTTTGCCTAAATAGCACTGGGTTTCCAATGATTAACCATCTACATGTTAACATCAGCACAAACAAGCTACGTCTAATGCTATACAGCGATATCACTCCCATCACACAGTCTTTCCTTCATTCAGATGGGGCCTACTACCATCCAGACATAATGCTATCTACCTACACAGAAGAAGCCCTTCCTCCTACTCCTCGTCCCCAGCATTCCATTCCTCAACCTCCTCTCCGTCAAAGCGGTCGGGGAGCCACCAGTCAGAGCCGGCCTCGCTCCACTCATCTGCATCCCCATCTTCTCCAGCCCCGTACCCTTCCCCATCTCCGTCTTCCGCATCCGCATCTTCTTCGTCCTGCTCCACATGCATGGCGTCGTCGTCCGCCTGCAGCACCTCGGCCGGCACGCGGGCCTCCTCGAAGTAGGGGTTGGGGATGACCTCGTCTTCAACCATCTCGTTCACATCCTCCAGCACTTCCACCTCACCCTTGTCCCGCAGGTGTGCGAGGACGAGGTGGTCTTCGCTGCCGTCGAGCTTGGTGGAAATCCCGCAGGTGACAAAGGACTTCCTGATCAGCTCCTCTGGGACCTCCTGCCAGGACTCGTCGATCCACTTCAGAACCGTCTCCGCGGGAGGCTTTTGCAGATTGCCTGAGGGATGGGCAAGGCACGCACCGAGTTGTTTGATGAAATACACAGGCACGCATGCACAACAACACGATCGGAAAGCAAGGGACCATCTCACCTGCACGCGTCCTCGTGTTGATCCCAATGTCTTCAAACCAAGTGCCATAGCGGTGACGCGTACCGGCCTTGAACGCGCGATTCACGGACACGTCTAGCGGCTGCAGAAGCGGGGTGCACCCCCCCGGGATGACCGCCCGCGTCAGACGGAACATTCGCACGGTTTGACCGACGGCTTCGGTCAAATGGCCGCGGTAGGAGTCCAGGACGACCAACGCCTCCCTGCGGCGTCCGGCTCTTTCGCGGATGGGCTTCAGAAACGGCACAAGTACCTGGGTTATCCAGTCCTGCACAAGGCCTTCGTCCATCCACCCCTTCTCTTGTGCACGGACGACCACACCTGCCGTTCACAACGCAAAGAGAGCGAGTGGTTAGAGGGAGTAATGGATACAACAACTAGAGTGAAGATTGAAATAGCTGGATACTTACCAGCTGGGATGGTTTTGCGTTTGAAAATGACATATGGAGGAAGCTTCAGCCCTCCCGCCGTCACTGCCAGCATGACAGTGACGCGTTCCTTCTCGTAGCCGGCAGTGCGCACGTGGACCGTCCGCGCTCCCTTCGTTTCGATTGTACGCTCGGCCGGCATCTCCAAAAACAGAGGAGTCTGATCCGCGTTCACGATCAGGTCGAGCGGGTAGTCGTGGAGGGTGCGCATCCGCATCAGGAACTCCCAGAAGGATTCAACCTTAGCCTTGCAATCTGCACGCACAACAAAACACAGAGAAAACATTAAGAGCTAGCACAGCTCAGATAGAGATGCATCCATTCAAGGACAACTTACCCGCAGCTAACTTCTGGCCCATCTTCGTTTTCACCCGTCGAGCCAGGTGCCAGCGAGCGCGGAAACGATTAGTCCAGCGCTGTGAAGCGCGCCAAATCACGCCAGGCATCCGATGCTTCATGAACTTGGCGCTCCACTGCTGCAGCATGCTGACCGATACGGCGAGTCCCTTAGCGCGGTGCTTAAGAAACTGCCGATACACGGCTCGTTCCATGAACGGGTACTTCGCGCGGCGCCCAGCTCCCATGAGGCGACGGCGGCATCCAGAGGCGACCTCCAGACGCTCCTTCATCCGCTTCCACTCGCGGATCTGGCAGGGCTGCACCTTCGCCAGCTTGGCCAAAGCTCGATTTGACAGGTCCGGCTGCGATTCCTGCAGTTTCAGCCAGTGGAGATTCTCCTTGGCGGTGTACGCATGACGAACACGTTTCGTCATGCGATGACGTGGGGAAGGAGCGTCGGCATCCGCGTTGCGCTTCGGAGGTCCCTGGGGGCGTGTTTGTTCCGGGAAGGAAGGAATCTTCACCTTCGGCAGCGCCGGCATAGGACGGGTCGCGCTGCTGCTCGGTTCATCGTTGGTGGCGCGACTCACGGGGGGTGACGGCTGCAGCAGGACGGGCCGGGGCGAACGCCGTGTGCCCGCAGCAGCGGGTGACTGGGTGACGGAAGGCCGCTACCGCCTAACCACTGTGCTACTGGAGTCTGGAGAGGTAGCCATCTAAGCCTAGTGAACGTTGGTGTCATAGGCCATGGAATCCCTGAATTTATGCTAGGAAAGGGATCGAGGAGGCAGTTGGTGTTAGCACACTCTGCCGAGCATTGCTCGAGTTCGTGGAATGGAGCCGCTGCACAGAAAGAAGGATGAACTCCTTCTCAGTACAAGGACGTGACCGCCTCAGCGAGGCAGCTGAGGCTGTTGCGGGCGCTCCGCCTTTGTGACTGCATGAATCCTCGTCGAGCGACGAGGGGGTGTGTTTTCTTTCCAATCAGGGCCTGACTGTGGGCCTTGTTGGAGCTTGCAATGTGGCAGCTAACCCACGAGACTAACGTTATCGCCCAGTCCTCGGTTTTGCGCACCCAACCAACAATCTACCACCGCGTCAAACATGTACATTTTGTTCTCAACCTTTTGTGCTCTAAAACAAATATACATTATGTAACGACCCGGGTGCAATGTAGCTTTTTCCGATGACAAGACCCCCCCCCCCCCCCCCCCTTTTTTTGTGTAGTTATCATAGCACCCTGGGGTGGTATGTCCGGGGTAATACGGTAAGTTTTGTAATTACTGCAACGTTGGCCATTTTTTTTTCATGTGGAAAAGATACACCTATTTAGAATTACATGTTTCATTTTTCAAAAAAGAACCATATACGCCTTGTCGCAAGGAGTTTAGGGTTGATGCTCCCAAATTCATTTGCCATCTGAAAGGGGCATAGATTTGTTTGCCCCGGTTGCACGATAGAATTAAGTACAAACAGTTTGTGGAAGGAGCGCCAGAATATCAGTTGCATATAAAACTTTGTTTTTGAAACACTTACGGTTTTGCAATTAGCTTGAAAATCGGAAAGTGTGTCAGGATTTCGGGAAGTGTGTTAGAATTTTGGAAAACTTTGTCAGGATCTCGGAGAGTGTGTCAGAGGTTTCTGCTTCAAGATTCGTCAATTTAGTCTGACGCGAGCGGGAAAAACCAGAATCAGGGTCATTTTGGGCGAGGGTTTCTTCTAGTTACCATTCGCGTGATGGGCTGCTAGTGTATAGTTACCATACGCGTTAAGCGAGTTACCAAACGTGTTAATCGAGTTACCAAACGCGTAAAGCGAGTTACCAAACGCGTTGAAATCGTTACCGTACGCGTTATACTGCCCCATGTAAGTTTCCATTGACACATTTTCCCTACATATTATTCAAACAGCTATTCTAGATACATAACACAAGAGCATGAAAATATATGAAGCCATTTGCAATGCAGCATAAAAATACGCACAAGTGTAAGTTCTAATTGCAACAGGGTGGCTTACACCCTACAAAAAACGCATAGCAGAACACTCTGCCTTGGAAAACCATTCAGACCTCGATGCCAGGGCATCTCACTTGCAGACCAGGATTTTGCTCACGACGAGAATCAACTGCACTCAGCCACCCTTTGTTGGCTCGCCGGACAGGGGAAGGTTGCGGGGATCCCTTCTGTGCTGCCACCCCTTGCAATGTCAGGGCCAAGCCATTATTCACCTTAGTATGTATGGGCTTGCTGACATGGCAGGCAGGCGAGCTGCTGTTGCTGTTGCTGACATGGCGGTTGACATGGCGGTCATGGAAGATAATCTGTGTGCTCATCATGCGATCGTGGCCAATGAGACAGAGGCGATCAGGATACACGTCAATCTGGCCGAAGGCTGACGTTCCTGTCGGGCATTCAAGTGCCTGCCAGAGGCAAGGGGGGTTGGGAAGCATGCATGAAGAAATAACATCAGCCATGAGCACATTTTGACATTCCCACTTCACCACCAAGCACTGAAATACTAAAAAGCTCCAAGCATTTCAAGGCAAAAAAATGACCAGCCAGGAAATTTCCACTCACCGCCTCAAGAATCCGGTGGTGAATGCCCTTGTCGTCGCAGGTGTATGCTCCAAAGTGTGCATGGCCGGAAATGACCGCCACCGCACAGTCGTGCTGCTGAATGGTCGCGAGAACCTGATGAGGGACAAGCATGGAGTCAAGCAGATTAGTCAAGCGCGGATAACAAAGACGGTGAGAAGGCGGAGAGGGGGGAGGGGGAAGGGGGAAGAGGATGGAGAAGGGGGAAGGGGATGGAGAAGAGGAGATGCGGGGGGAGGAAAAGGTACGAAGGATTAATGCTTATTTCAAGATCCGGCAGTATAGGGAGTGGCATTCACCTTGTCATAGTTCCAGATGAGGCACGTGGAGGTGGGGAGAGCGTTGGGCTCCACTGGCAGGTGGCAGCAGATGATCACCGTCTCCCCACACTCATCGCTCTCCCTCAACACCCCCTCCAGCCATCCCAGCTGCGTCTCACTCACTCCCCCGTTGAACTTCAAAAACCGCCGCTGCATCCCCACCATCCCCTCCGGGCTGTTCTTCTCCTCGTTGGGATTCTGCCGCCCGAGAATCTCCGCCGCCAGCTCAGCGTGCGGGTGGCCGGACGGCCAGCCGATCATGCTGATATCATACGGGTCGAGAACGACGAGGCGGAAGCCAGGGAAGGGGGAGAAGTGGTAGTAGGAGCGGTGGTCGGCGGAGGGCGGCATGGCGAGCAGCTTGTTGAGGGTTTTCCGGGGGAGGTTGTAGAGACAGTGGTTGCCTGCAGGGGTAGATGGGTACAGGAAATGTCACACATTGAGCAAAGCTGCATTGGCCAGGCTGCTTATCAAATCAAATCCAAATCGGATCAGCTGCAATGATGAAAGGATGCCACAAGGAGCAGAAAAACATTAATGAGACAAACTATGTAGAATGCACCTTCTGCAAGGAGCATACCTAGCATTTGGTACACGGGTCCGTTGGTCAACTTGCCGAACTCGCCCAGAACCTGGAATGGGGAAGATGCCGGGGAGGCGACGAGATGGAAGCAGGCGCATGGAACCGCAGGCGGAGAAGGGAAGGAAAGAAGGAGAAAGGGAAGGCATTGAGATGATCTGAGCATGAGATGCGAGAAAGTGAAGCTTGACGAGGCAATGCAGTGGGGAAGGGGAGAGCGGTAAGAGCAACGCGTGCATTAGATATGGTACCGAGGCAAGTAAGTTCCAAAGCGCTTCTCCTGGAGATCCGGCGAGTGCTGATGCATTACCGTTTGAAATGCCTCAAGAGATTTTTCGCGAGGGCAGAGTCCGTCGACGAGGTCGCCGAAATGCACTGCGAATGAAATATGGTTCGTCTCGTGGTTCCAGTCGCGTACCGCCCTCTTCACCACTGCCAAATCAATGTCAGCCAACCGTCGCGTGACGCGTGTCAGAACCATGCTAGAAAAGCTTGTTGGAATGATTATGCTAGGCTCAACTACTTCCGACGGCATTAAAACATCGGAGAACAAAAGCGAGCCAGCAGGAAATAATAAAAATGATCCTGATGCCATCAAGAAAACTGAAAAACATTTCCCCACCTTCTAAGCTGTGTCGGTAGAATCGAGGGATGCCCAGGAACGAATGTCCGTCGTCGATATCGGCGTACTGCACGTCCGTCATCACGCCGAACGAAAACAGCGGCTTCTTCCCCTCCGCGTCCTCCCTCTGATAAAAATACGACCCGGCCACAGACGGTCCGAGTGCTCTCCGCTCCGCGATCAGCAGCTGCTGCAGGTTCCACCGATCGCGGCTGGCTCGGCGCGCGAGACGCTGCTTGTTCTGGCGCTCCGGATCGGTCCCGTTCCCGCGGTGGTCCTCGCAGTTTTCGCTCTGAAGATGCCGGATGTGGTGTGGCCCATCGTCGTCGGAGCAACTGCTGCTGCTGCTGCCGATGATCCTGCTGCTGCCGCTGCTCCCGCTGCTGCGGCTGTGCGACGACCCGTCATCTTCTTGCGACGCGTCGTCGCAGTCGCCGTCGTCAACGGCTGTCGGCGACCATTCGGGCCAATCGTCGTCGTCGCAGCTCGAGCCATTCTCCGCTGCGGCCTCGAGAAGCTCTTTCTCCCGGAGAGCTGCGGTCTCAGCGGCTTTCGCGCGCTGCTGGAAGAGCGCGAGAAAATCGTTGGTCGGCTCGAGAGCACGAGGCGGACGGGGATGGTACCCGAGCGGAAACGCCGGCGCGAAAGCCGGAGGTGCGGACGGCGTCCGCGAGGGAAACTCGACTAGCGGTGACGACATGTTCTTTGACGGAAATGGCGGACGTAGAGGAATATGTTTCCGGCTCTATAATGGCGCCTTGTAAGGACAGAATAACTCAGAAAGGGTAATTTTGCTCTTAGTAAGATAACAATGACAAGCGACTGCGGATAAGGATGCTTTCTTTCTCCTCCTCCTTTGATAGTTCCGTCTGACCAGTGAATGGCAGAAACGTGTCTCAGTGGGGTCTGAGAAAACGAGGATAGAATTCTTGACGATAAAAACGGATACTCCAAGCGGAAAAGTCGGTACAGGGAGTAACTACCGCAAAATTGAACGAGAAGTAACCAGAGAATGGTTCAGTAACAACGCCAAGACAGAAGGGGAGCAACTGAACCCTGTATAGCTGCTTATGTACAAAGGGGGCTCAGCAACGGTCTACCGAACTTTCTCAATGTCAACGCGCTTCACTGATGTCGTTCATCCTTATCTATGGCTTCTGGAACGGAGGGGACAACTATGGACGGAGATGCGGGTCAGAAACATCACAGTAACTCACGCTGCAACTACGGAAACGCAAACCCTATCATAAAGGCGTGTAAAGCAAAATCAAAGATTAGGAGCACGAGGGAATAGGAACGGCGAGAGGGCAGGGGGTTTGACGGAAGAGAGGCGATTGGAGGGTGCGCCAACGAAGCAGGACAGCACCAGTGGGAAAAACCGCGCCAGCTAGGGAGCGCGAATGGAGGCCGAGGGAATTTGGCCTTCCAGTCACTCGGATGGGTCGCATGCGTGGCAACACGGCGGCGCGAGGTTGACATTGCGCTTCGCGGGCAGATGCAGTTGAAGAGAATGCTCCGGCTCCCAGCCCCTGGGAGTTCCCACACTTCAGATGTTTTGCACAAGGACCACTCCAAGGGGCACCAGTTTTGGCAGGCGTCCAGCACTGTGCATGGAATTTAAAACTTTTCACTTGATAGCACTTAGTGAGTGTGTCCAATTTCGAGGCACGGCCCCGTATTGCTACATGAGTATGCTCGAGTTGCTCCAGAACAGATGTGGTTGACGCCGAAATTCGCATACACCAACTGAAAACAGGGAGGATCCAAGTCACCATCGCCGCTTTCGGGCCCGCTTTACAGGCGATCTGCGTGGGCGATGATGTTCGTCTGACTGAATCCACGTGAAGTCTTGGCAAGCGTGTGAACAAGCTCGGCCATCTCATCCCCGCGGGATTTCCTCCACAGATCTTGCCGACCAGAAAGTCGTACCCAATGAAGTGGACAAGTGACACGCACGTGCGATAAAATAGGCAAAATAGGCAAGCAGATCAGGTCATGGTCCACTTTCATAAGTAAGTGTACATACATTTTCAGTGAACTAAACACTATATACAAATGCTATTTACTTGCGATAACACACCACACACCACTTCACCACCCTGTTCTCCTTCCAGGCTACATTTTATTCAACTGCTCTTGTAACACATACACCTCTTTCTTCAGTGCTGTTGCACTCCTAGCCTCTGCCCGACCCTACTTAACTCTTGCTCCAATTATGTGACTTTCTTGTTGGACGCTCGAAGCTCCTTGTGCAACGTTTCCACATCCACCGTCCCTTGTCTCTCTGTGAGGGACATATACTGCCTCGATAAACGGCCAGAGGGAGGGCGAGATAGGGAGGGGTTGTAAGAGAAAGGGGGGTGGTGAGGAGAGAGTGGGTGGTGTGAAACAAGCTGAAGGTTGGGTATAAGGTGTTGGTGTTAGAATATATCTGTAACTGCCTGTAGCTGTAGTTAGTGTAGTTATTATAAACTTGTTGGTGGTGCACCTTCTTTGCATCCTTTGTTTGCTATATGTGTCAAACATATGTATATCTATGTTATATTTTGGGTAGGCTTAGTGGGGTACACACTGTGGGGGACAACCCCTTAGGTTCATTTTCCTTGTACCAACCTTCTCGATAGTCGACATCACTCATGCCTAGCTTCTAAGATGGTATCTAGAGCATAGGTCTTTAGGACCTAAGATTAGGGCCCACCGATTACTGCATTACCTGCTGCCCGCGCGCGCCTCGGCTGCACGCGCGTGGCCCTTTTTTTTTTTTTCCCGTGCGCGCCACTTAAAGCAGCCCGCGCGCAGCCCGTTTTCGGCCCCGCGTGCCACGTCAGTCACCCGCGCAGCCTGCCGCCGGCCCGCGCGCCGTGTAAGCCGCCCGTGCGCAACCCGCTTAGGCCCTGCGCGCCGCGTCCGTGTAGCCCGTTTTAGGCCCCACGCGCCGTGTAGCCCGTTTTAGGCCCCACGCGCCGTGTAGCCCGTTTTAGGCCCCACGCGCCGCGCCAGCCGCCCACGCAGCCTGCCGCCAGCCCGCGCGTCGCCACGAGCAGCCCGCAGCTGCGCGCGCTGCCCGTAGCCACGTGCAACCTGCAGCCTCGTGCCTGCTGCCGCCTGCCTGTCGCCTGCCTGCCTGCCTGCTTGCTGCCTGCTAGCTGTCTGCTGCCACCTGCCTGTCGCCTGCCTGCCTGCCTGCTTGCTGCCTACTGCCGCCTGCCTGCAGCCTGCCTACTGCGTGCTTGCTGCCGCCTGCCTGCTTGCTGCCTACTGCCGCCTGCCAACTTGCTGCCTGCCTGCTACTTGCTGCCTGCTGCCGCCTGCCTGCCGCCTGCCCGCAGCCTGCCTGCCGCCAGCCTGCTGCCTGCCTGCCAGCCTGCTTGCTGCCTGCTGCCGCCTGCCTGCCGCCTGCCTGCAACCTGCCTGCTGCCTGCCTGCTGCCGCCTGCCTGCTTGCTGCCTGCAGCCTGCCTGCCTGCCTGCTTGCTGCCTGCTGCAGCCTGCCTGCAGCCTGCCTGCTGCCCGCCTGCCTGCCGCCTGCCTGCAGCCTACCTGCTGCCTGCCTGCTGCCGCCTGCCTGCTTGCTGCCTGCAGCCTGCCTGCCTGCCTGCTTGCTGCCTGCTGCAGCCTGCCTGTAGCCTGCCTGCTGCCTGCCTGCTGCCTGCCTGCTCCTTGCTGCCTGCTGCCGCCTGCCTGCTTGCTGCCTGCTGCCGCCTGCCTGCAGCTTGCCTGCTGCCTGCCTGCTGCTTGCTGCCCCTGCCTCCTGCCTCTGCCTCCTGCCTCCTACCTGGTGCCTGCTGCCTCTGCCTGCTGCCTGCTGCCGCCTGCCTTAAGCCAATATGGCGACGCCTAACGTTCTAGCGTTCGAGCGTGACGGTCGTCCCATCGAGTTCACTGTGTGGTTAGACGATCTCCAGCTGTTCCTTCTGACTGATGCCAAAGAGGGTGTCTCACTGTTCGATTACGTCTCTGGCACTGCCGTTACTCCTGCTGCTGATGCTCCTGCTCTAGAACGCTCCCAGTGGCAGACTCGTGATGCTGCAGCACGCCTAGCTATTAGGAACCACCTGCCGATTACTGAGCGAGCGCATTTCAGCCAGCACAGAACTGCTAAGACACTGTACGACGCTGTAGTTGCGTGCTACTCCTCCCCGGCCACTGCAGCCATAGGTCGACTCATGCTACCGTACCTGTTCCCGATCTTTCCTCGTTCACCACTGCTGAGGACCTAGTTTCTCACCTACGCGCTACTGACTCTCGCTTTCGTGCCGCCCTTTCAGCCGAGTTCTGCGCCGCAAACCCCCCCCGATGTACTTCACTCTCTATTTCCTCGTCACCCGCCTCCCTGACACTCTTAGCTCAGTCAGGGACCACTTCCTAGCGCTAGACCCCACCACTCTCACTGTTGACGACTTCGAGAAGCACCTCCTCGCAGCAGAGAAGAACATCCTCGCTGTAGGTGCTGCTCGTGACACTCCTCGCTCTCCCCTCTTTGAGGGGTGCTCCCCCTACCCTCTCACCCCCTCCTACGCCTCCGCAGCTGTTGCTCACGACTAC